TCGACCAAAAAAAAAAAAGTAGGTACAGTTTTTCGACCAAAAAAAATAGGTACAGTTTTTCGACCAAAAAAATAGGTACAGTTCATTCTATGAACTTTTAGAACACAGTCGTTTTAGATGACAATTTAGACAAAGTAATATGTACCTTATCATATCTACCTTTTTAACAAAACACTAGACATGATGTGGAGTTTGCTAGATGAGGAAGTGAATTTCAACCTTAACTACACATTATTCACGACCATTACAATCGACATATGTTTTACGTATGAGCTGTATACTACTTGCATACATATAACATAAGGCGCGTATATGTTTCTGAGAATTTTTGTTTGGCTACTGCAAAAATAGACAACAAACTTTGCATTCAACAAAATATATAGTAAAAATAGAAATCTGTTATCGTAATATACTTCTTAATTAATATAATATAATTAGTTAGTTAACTAAAGGATTTTTTTTTTGTAACACTAACTAAAGAAACACAAATGTGGAAATTAGAGAGCTACCAGTTGGTGGGCGAGTTGGAGAGCAGCGTCGTGATAAGTGGTTTTGTTGCCGGAACTGCTTCCGCAGAAGACACAGATCCTCCTGAATCTTGATTTTGTCTCTTCCATTCTCTCTATATCTCTCTCTTTATGTCCTTTTCTGTCTTATTCTTTTCCGGTTCTGTCACTTTCTCAACTTTTTTTTTTATATATGTGTGAAAAAGAAGTATACATATTTTTTTGGCCTAGGATCCAGGCAAGGCTGGCTATCTAGTATATAGTTATATACATTTAAATGAGTTAGTTTATGTTATTATTTGATCCCGGCGATCTTGACAGCTTTTAGATGTTAAATTTATTAATTAACAAAAGAAAAATATTTACGTAAGAGTTTATACTTTGAAGCTAGAAACAATTGATCATTTCATGTTTTCTCTAATATATGAAAGGAACATAACGGGAGACGCTTAATAACACCTCACACGCAACGGACTAGTTCATTCGAATTATCGAACGTCAGCGGAACATAATATGAGAGAAGTTCACTAATCCGTGTGCTTTTCTTATCTTTAACACGTTTTCATTCAAGTTTATTGTTTTTTTTTCTTTTCCTTTTTTCATCCACATATATTCTTTTTTAACCCTCATAACTTCAACATCCAAAAAACATATACAACTAGGTATGGACCCCTGCGTTGCACAGGTTTGTTTGATTTTTTTATTTTATGAAAACATAAAAAGAATGAGAAATTTTTTTACATCAATTTTAGAATTTAGGTGTATATTATGGGACACATTTTTGAATTAAGAACCTATTTTGACATAATTTTTAATTTTTCTGCTTCATGTTTTAAAATAGTCAATAATGTTTTTGTTTTATTAATTGTTCTTTTTTGATATTTATTTCATTATAATTAATTAAAATGAGAAAAAAATATAACCATAAATAGTTTTAGTTTGCCATAACCTAACCCAGTCAAATTAGAAACTCAAATAATATTACCAAAAGTCTAGAATTGGATTTGTCCGTTGTCAGATTAATACAGTTTGTAGCATTCTTACAATATTGTCAACTTGGCATTATCATTGCAAATCTATAAATTTCATTATCAATTCTTTTTCTAATTATAGAAATGGAAAATATTTACTAAAGAAAAAAGTAGAGAAAATAGTATTAAATAATTTTTAATTTTCATTTTCTTAAAAATGAGATATTTTAACACATGTACAATTTAAAAAAAAAAAGAAAATTACAATGGAATTTTATTTTTAAAAGTTTCATATTTAATAGTCAAAATTATTTTACATATTTGTTTCTTTAGGATTTAAAAAAAAAAGAATTTTTCTTAAGAACTAATATTAAATAATTTTGAAATTTATATTTGACATTAAATAATTTTGAAATTATTTGTTTTAAAAATTATTTGTTTCAGAAATTCATTTTTTAGTTTCATAGTATATATATTATATCCATGAAATATTCTTACACATGTCGTAATATTAAAAAGAAAATTTTATGTGACAGCTTATGGTGTGGTGGCAATAACTTTAAATGTATTACTATGTGACAACTCAGAAGTTTCGATAAAAAAAAAAGACAGAACTCAGAAGCATGACAACGATTAAACAATAATCATGACAACGATCAACCATAACTTTATAAGAAGAAAAGAACATCAAACTTCACCTTATATTTTTCTTGAATCAATAATTATGCTTGGTGATAAAATATGAGAAGTGACCAAATATGAGAGATCTTAGTTCTATATATAGAGATGTGAATAATCATAGTTCCTCTTGAATATGATATTTTTAGTTAGGATTTTAATAAAGGAAAATTAACATTAATCAGTATTTAACATTTATTTCGTCTAAGTTTTTTTAAAAGAATAATGACTATTTAATATTTCTTTTTTTTTGTTAAGTTTTAATTAGATTTGAATAAAGGAAAATTAACATTATGAGAGTAGAAATATTTTTAAAAGTAAAAATATTTTTTTTACAGTTATCTTTTTTTATTATAAAGGACAATTAGCATAAAATAGTTTTTCCATTTTTCGGTTTATATTTTAAAAAGGATAATTACATTCGGTTTGGAATAGGTTTTGTTAAAATTAAAATTACTATGAATTTTCTTAAAAATTGTTTTACTATAATAAGATTTTTATTATTTAATAAAGTATTTTTAAAAATCATTTTATTATAATAAGATTCGTTTTTTCCGTTTTGACCTTTTTAATTAGAATTTGAATAAAAGAAAATTAGCATTATGAGAGTAAAAATATTTTTAAAAGGAAAAATATGTTTTTTTTTAAATTATCCTTTTTTATTATGAGAGTAGGAAACTTTTTATGTTTTTTTTAAAAGGATAATTACTATCTAATAATTTTTTTGTTTTGACCTTTTTAATTAGGATTTGAATAAAGAAAAATTAAAATTATGAGCGTAGAAACATTTTAAAAAGGAAAAATAAAATTTTTATATAATTTTTTTTATGATTATCTTTTGTTAATTGTAAAGAACAATTAGCATAAAACAGTCTTTATCATTTTTTTTTTGTTTATATTTTGAAAAGGATAATTAAAATTCGGTTTTGGAATAGGTTTTGTTAAAATTAAAATTACTATATATTTTTTAAAAATCGATTTATTATAATAAGATTTTTCTTATTTAATAAATTATTTTAAAAAATCGTATTTTAATAAAAATTATAAAAACGTTTTATTATAATAAAATTCTTTTTTTTCGTTTTGACCTTTTTATTTTTAAAAATCGTTTTATTTTAATAATAATTGTAAAAAAAGTTTTATTATAAGATAAGATTTTTTTTTAAAAACGTTTTATTGTAATAAAATTCTTTTTTTTTTCGTTTTGACCTTTTTATTTTTAAAAATCGTTTATTTTAATGATAATTGTAAAAAGGTTTTATTATAAGATAAGATTTTTTTTTTCGTTTTAAACTTTTTAGTTAGAATTTTAATAAAGGAAAATTAGCATTATGAGAGTAGAAATATTTTAAAGAGGAAAAAATTGTTTTTTTGGACAATTTATTTTAACACATGTCACAATCTTAACTAATAACTTGCCATGTGTCGCGATCGTATTAATTAGTAACTTTGAGGAACCAAGCTTTATATAATAAGATTCCAAGATAGTAAGTTACTGCATAAGGATATCTTTTATATGTATCAAAGATTACATAAAAATATCGGTTCACCATGTCCACAAGCAAGTTTTTTTTTTTGTGGTGTAAATGTTAAATAAAAAGGTGGTTTCACCTTTTTGTCAGAGGTCCAAACATTATAAATAGTTCCTTCCAACATAAATTAAACTCAAGTGATGGAAGTTATAGCCATAACCCTTTTATCACTAGGCCAACTCAACGTTGGTTGTCCACAAGCAAGTTGGACGGTTGGAGAGCCCAAAGATCACTGTATCATTTTTCAGAACCTTAACTCTTATCTATTTTTAATGCTAAAATAAGTATACATAAGTTGTGACGCAAAGATCGCAATTTGACAAGTTCAAGAAAAAAAAAGATCGCAATTTGACTCTACTCACACGGTAATCAGACAAGTGTCCACCTCTCAAAAATCCAGGATTCGATTCCGTTAATTCCTTTCTTGTGATACTTTATAAATAATTAACTAAACCATTTCTTTGATCGAAGAAACGGTCACTCTGCGTATCAGATATGTTACTTCTTATTAGTCACCAAATCTCTAGTATCTTTTGCTTTCTTACATGTAGCTACTTTTTTAATGGAAATAGTTTCACTATTAATTAACTCACAACTAAATTTTTTTTAGAGATAATTGGTTAAAGTATCCTAAATAGATATTCATATTTGTAATTTACCTATGATTTGACTTAATTATTTTTTATAACAGTTTTGCCCTTTTTACAGATGCATGTGACTATATGGGTGTATCAGTTTTTCTACTTTATTTTCAGTAAGAGCATTTTCTCTCTCATTTTTTCTTCTATTATTTTGTTATCTTCTCTTTTCTTTTTTTCTCTATGTTACTAAGAGCACCTCCAACGGGAGTCCTTAAGCTTAGGGAAAAAATAATTAAATAATCAATATACCTCATAAAAGGTTAAGGATTTGATCCTTAAAATTCCTAAATAAGGATCGTTTCTTAGCGAATCCTTGCACTATTTGCGGGTCCCCACAACATGTGGTAGCCTGCAATTGGTTGATATTTTTTTAAAAAATTTAAAAAAATCTGAAAAATTAAATAAATAATAATTAAAAAATTAAATAAATAATTTTTTTAAGAACTCCAACAGGTAACATCGTTGGAGATGCTCTAAGTGGCTAAAGAAAGAAATTTGTTTTTTAGATTAATTCAATGTGATAGAAAAAATTAAAACTTCTAAAATATTTACTTGTCAATAGCTACCTAACACCTCTGTTAACAACTACAATATTTATTAACAGCTAACACCTATATTACCACATTTGGTACATCTATTTGTTAACATCTATTACCGCTGTTACCATTTACAATATTTATTAACAGTTAACATTTCGGGTACATATATTTGTTAACATCTAATACTTCTGTTAACAAATATTGTAGATGTTAACAATTGACAATAGTGATTATTTCCGGCGATTTAAAGAAACATCAATATTATTTCTTTCACTATGGATTGCAATCAAACTAATCAATGCTTTGTTTAGTGTGTCAATTGGTTTTTAACGCAAGGAAAAATATTTAGAAGAAAAAATATGGAAGCAAAGAAAGTATAATAAAAAATAAAAGAAAGAGTAGAAGTAAAGAGAAACTGGCTGCTGAAGAAATAGACAGTGCCAGCATATTGTAAAAAAGGCATCAGTGTCTAACCAAAGTGCAAATTGTAGAAGATTTTGTCTTTGTGTCAATCGATGGGTAAGTTACAAATATAAGCTCCTATTTGAGGTAAATGGCTAACCCCTTTTCTTCCGCTAGGTATGTCGGGAAAAAATCTATACTATTATTTGTGAAGTGATTTTCACATTCGAGTTCTCAGGTTAAATGTTATAACGATTACTATCAATATTATTCTTAAAGAATAGTTATATATAATTTATTATATAATTAAAAACAAAATTATATCTGAGAAAAAACAAAAATATATCA